CACGTGCAGTTATTAATTGCGTTACAGATTAATTGTAGCCAAATAGCTCCATCTTTGTTTCATCAGACCATAATCTGAGAGTCCTTCAGGTGCCTTTTGGCAAACTTCCATCAAGCTGTCGTGTGCCTTTTAGTGAGGAATGGCTTCCTTCTGGACACTCTACCATAGAGGCCTGATTGATGGAGTGCTGTGCTGATGGTTGTCCTTCTGTAAGGTTCTGTCATCCCTAGAAAGGACCTCTGGATCTCATTCATAGTGACCCTTGGGTTCTTGGTTACCTGTCTGACCATGGCCCTTCATCCCCAATTGGTGGTTCCAGGTCTCTTCCATTTGAGAATGATGGAGGCTACCGTGCTCTTGGGCACTTTAAATGCTGCAGAAAATGTTCTTCCCCAGATCTCTTGCAGGTCTACAGGCAATTCTAGACAGGTATGTGCCTTTCCTAATTATGTCCAATACCTTACATTAGGCACAGGTGATGGGAGTAAGATGCACCAGAGCTGAATTGCATGTGTCATAACAAAGGATCTGAATGCTTGTGTAAATGGGATATTTGAGACTTATTTCAAATAAATTTACAAACAAACCTGTTTTTACTTTATCACAGAGTATGGTGTGTAGATTGATAAGGGAAAAAATTAACTGAATCCCTTTTAATGAGTCTGAAACAGCAAAATGAGGAAAACTCGAAAGGGTCTGAAAACTTTACGTACCCACGGTATACTGTGGTATTGCTACTTTATATAAGTACATAATGTAAGTAGGCTACTTCTTTTACCAGTCCCGAGGGCTGTTTTCCAGAGAAGACAGAAAACATCTTTAAAACCTAAATTCACCAAAAGCTGCTGTCAGCAGTTCATTCAGTGAGGTTTTGATGACTTGGCAGTTCAGCAGCACAAAAAGTGCCGCCACCTTTCAACTCCTACTTCCGCAATTTCCTGTCTGTCAGCGATGTTGGGTTGATTTCCGTTTTAGGGACACTCTAACAGCCCAAAGGCATAGATACTGTAGTAAGAAATGTCGGCTCAGCAAACATTGGCTATCTGACCTATAATTGGCATTTTGTGGGTGCCAGTAGGTCAACTTACCAATAGGAAAGAATTTCAGATACATGCGCTGCTTTCTGCTTTAGAAAACTCTTCCAGAGGCTCATCATATTTTAGTTGTCCAAAACTTCATCACATAGACAGGCTAGAGCCGAACAGGATTTTGCAAAGTGACTTGATCCATGGGAACACGACAATGCATTGTGAAGAACAAACAAGGCTAACGGTCAGGCTGGAAGATAGTGATTATTAGGACTAACTCAAATTTTTTAACATATTTCAATCACATTTGACCACTTTCTTTTAGGCAGATAAAACCTTGGTTCAGCTTGGATAACTGTCTATTTTAGCATCTTAACCTTTAGGTTACATTAGTTAACAGCCCAGTTAAGCAGCTAAAACTGTTTGGGTCAGGTTAACCTTAACTGTCAAATTTAGCTGCTGAGGAGCAAACACTTTAGTTCAAGTCAGTTAATGGTTCCTTTAAGAGGCAGTTCTGGATAGCTAACAGGCAAAATTTTCGGTTACTATTTGAGTCAGGAGACAATTTAGCACCTACTGGACCGTTAATAACAGATAAAAATGTTTTGGTTTAGTTAACAGCGAGTCTTTTGTTCAGAGTGATGGCTATGACAGTTTGGTGAAAATTGCAGGCTAGTTAACAGTCAAATTTAGTAGCAAGTTTTGAATTGGGTTATCTAAGTTCAGTCAGCTAAAACGATTTGAGTTCAGGTCAAGTCTCCTTTTGATAAACAATTGGAGCAGAAAGACACCAGAGAATACTAAAGGGATGTGACTGGTAGTAAATCCTTTTTCACTTCCTCTTATCTTGAGCTATTTTTCTTGTCTGCTTGACTATTTTCCATCTCAAAGTGCTGATCAAAGTCAATTATTGAGGTTGAGATGGTCACTGGGACATGGACTGTGAGATGTCCTTTGGCTGAGCCCTTCATTCTCTCTTTTACTCCATCATTCATATTTTTCATTAGTCAACAGTGAGTGCTGATGTCAGTAGTACCATTACGCAATACACAAAGATAACAATTGTCATGGTGTCCTTCACACAGTAATTCTTTTTTCATGTCTTGTATTTAATCAGTCTCATAAAAGTCAAAACAAAGAGACTACATCCATCCAGAGTATCAATTTCAGATTGTCAACAGCAGACGGGACAGACATGATCTAAAACTGTTTAACTATCAGCACTGTCCAAACAAATGTGCCACTACTAAGCGGTAGAAAATGAATGAATGAATAAAATCTATTTTAAACTCTCCAGTCTAGAGTAGAGCAATGTGTGGCAAACCTGCCAAATTTTAATGTAATTTGGACTGTTGTGCATTCATCAGTGACATTTCAGTACTTCAGAAGTTTGTATCTCTCGCGCTGTAACTCTGACACCAGATGTGGTTGACTGTTTTCAGGTATTTGTGCTTTTCCACGGTGGCAGCCAACATTTCTGCCACTGTGAAAAGGTTTTTCCAGAAGTCACCCAGTCTGCATCAGACTTTTCCCAAAGCTTATAAGAGATATTTGTGAGGGTGTAACAAAACATTTTAAAAGACGTCCTCGTACAAATAAAATTGATTGCTGAAGAGCTCGTGAGCAAGGCAGAAAACCTCACCAGTGATTTACAACCATCCCCTGAGTATCAGCCTGCTTCCTACTATTGTTCTATCTGCTTGCAGTTCAACCTTTGACCCTCTCTCTGGTCTGACTCACCTCGTTGCATCTGTCAAACTAAATTAAAACAGGAAAACTCAGCTTTCACATTTCTTCCTTTTTACTCTGAGAAGCAGACTAGGAGTTATGTCAGCTGACAAGGAAATCCGCCCAAATCACAGTGGCCTGCTGGGACAACCACGAGGGGAAATCCGCCAAAAACCTCCTGTTAGGAAGATAGAAGATTTCTCACAATATCTCTGTCTTCCCAGACGGACCTCAAAGGCCAGAGTACTATGATATTACCTCCTATTACGATTATTTAGTAGTAATGATTAAAGAAAATGTTTTTGTTAATTTATCTACTTCATTTGGATCATTCAGTATCACTTAGAGCAGTTCCTGACCAGCTCAAACTCAGCAAAGACAACAAGCAGCTCCTCAACAAAAACATGTAAAGACAAAATCAGAGAGATATTCTGTCATCAAATGGTCTGGAATGACAAGTTATAAAACATAAACAGAAAATTTATAAAATTATGACATGCAATAATCCAGCAATTATTGTTTTGAAATCCAGAGCTATGTAATAAGTCTAGAGCTGAAACAAATGGTCGATTAATAGATTCATCAGTCACAGAAAATTGACCGAAGAGATTTTTCAAGTAAAAATACCAAATTATCCTAAATTCCAGCTTCTTAATTTTAGGAATTAGCTTTTTATGTGACAGGAAATAAATTAAAAACAGCATAACATAGTTACACACAGTTTCAGTTTTAGAAAATTATAGCTGGCGTTTTTCACTATTCACTTGTTTTTTAAAACAAATGATTCATTGATTTAAGTAAGAAATAATACTGATTTTTAGTTCCAGACTTAAATAAATCCAATATAAAATTTCTAGAATGAGCCCAAGAAGCCATCAGAGAGTCCATAGATAGAGCAAAGATCATCACCCTTGACCTTGAGGGATAGCCACTGCTATATCTTATAAAAAATATACTAATCTTTATTTATGTAGTAGTTGTCAAAACAGTTTCAAAGTGATAAACCAGAGTGATTAAGGCCAAAGGTTGGTATGTTATCTGTGTAACTGTTCCTCTGGCAGCACCAGGTTCATATATCTATCATAACTGAAATTTCTGATACGTAATTGAGTTCTTTCATTCTTGGAGTTTTATTTTAGAGCTCTATTACAAAGTGCTACCAAATACCTGAATATGGAAACTGAAGAATTTACCATACTCGAACTGCAGACAAGTATGTGATTCCACAACTGATCTGAAAAGACCAAAACAGTCGCAGCTTAAGATACAAGGATTTCACCTGACGCAGACGATTTGACACATTAGATTTTGAATTGCCCAACTGTATAATACAAAAATACTACTTCACTGCTTTAATCATTTAAAACCCAAACAAACTATTAAAACTCAGTGACACTTCTGAAAGCGGAACTTGGTGTAGTAACTAAAACGACTAGATTTTATATTTCCACCAATATACACTGCTGTAGACCTTTCTCAAGGTCTACAGCAGTGTATATTATCCACAATTATCCACAATTTTGTGTAGCTGATATTTTCTTCCTCTTTTCTTACCACGTGAGACCTCAGGTTGAGAACCAGTGGTCTATCATTACTGTAGTTTATATACAATCGAGAGGACGGAAGGGATCAGTGTGCTTTTATACTACTGTTTCTATGATTTTACGTATTTTTACTTTTGTGACTAAAACAAGTGCTACCTTTGAAACTTCTACTGCTGATATTTTACTAATTTTGTTCTGGCAAATGCCGCTGCTCTTACTACTACTGTAGATGACTGGTAGGAGGAGATGACCTCTTCTGGGAGGTTCCAGGAGGTGCCAGTTTCTGTTGTTGTTTTTTCTTTCTCTTCCTAGATTAGAGAGGAAAAGACGTGACGCCACCAGTCGCTCCAGCTTCTGTGGCAGCTCGCTCCCTCGCTGGACCCTGAGCTGAGAGTTCATTAGTTGGTTGTAATTTGTTTGTTAGTTCCCACGCTATAGGGATTGTTGTCTTTAGGCTGAAAGACAGCCAAGAATACTGCTGATAATCCCAACGCTGCCTGGATCCACCCTGTGCATTTTAGTTTTTACCTTAAGTTTTTCCATCTAACAGGAGATTGCTTGTGGGTTTCTATACCTATTGCTGCTGGAATACAAGTCTTTTGTTGCCAAATTGTTTGGTTTTTCCTGCACAAAGGATGGTATCTGTGTGTTTCTTCCTGTAGCTACTAGACCAGGTTGTGTTTGAGGTTCTAGACATGAGACTAGAAAGCCAGGCTAAGAGTTAACTCTCTCTTGGTCACGTTCAGTGCTTTGGCTACTGATTTATTTCTACTATCAGAGGAGGACGCTGGGTTGGATTTATTTTTCCCCCCTGGATGTGACACTTTGAGCCATGCTGCTGCTGCTGGTGCTGCTCTGCCTGCAAACATCACTGCAAGAACAGGTAGCACAACTCCAACTCCATTACACTGAGATACTGGACTTCATTTATTCTCTTTACTCCTCTAATTGATAAGTGGATTGCTTTACTTTTTGAAAAATGCAGTTACACTGTTCATTGTTGCTCATTATTGCAATGTTAACATGTTGATGTGAAGAGGTTACAATGCTCGCAATGTCCGCTGTCTTATATAGTGTGCTGGCATACCACAGACTGTGTGTAAAGATGGACCACCTGACAACTCCTGTTCTGTGGTGGCGGGTTGCAGTGTTTGTCATAAATCATGCTCCCTCCATGTTGGCAGATGGGATGTGAGCCAAACCAGACAAGAGTAGTTATATGCACATCTGGCAGGAATTACCAATTGACCACACCTGACACAGTCAGAGAGCCTAACAACTCAGTGGTGGTTAGAGATATGGGCGTGAAGGTGACTTTTACAAACATTTTGAAACTGTGACCTGATGGACATCCAAAATTAGATCAAAACATGAGCCAAACTAACAATTCAAAGTACAAATCAAATATATTGAACTGGTTTCTCCAGTTCACATGTCAAAGTGTCCTTGGGCAAAACACTGGACCCCAAGTTGCTCTTGGTGGCCACGCCATCAGCGTGAGTGTGTGAATGTTTGCGTGCTCGAATAGGTGAATGGAAAATGGTGTAAAAGCACTTTGAGTGTGCGAAAGCGCTATACAAGTATAAGAACATTTACCATTTTAGTTGAAGCTGTTGCTTGTTAAAAACAGGGCTGTACCGATGCTGATGGTGCCACCTGGAGTCAGAGGAGCAGATTTCTGTAACTATAAAGAGAAATGTTGACAACTAAAGACAAAGACTGTGATATAGGCCGTGCAGTCACAGATCTCCTCTGCTCCCACAGACCCCTCCCCCTGGTCGATGTGATATCCCACAGAGGATGGAAGTGCGCACCTCCTGCACTTCCTGCGCCGCCGCTGCCACCAGCAGCTGTCCCCACAGCTTCAGCAGAGCGGGCACCACCAACTGCAGGTATATACCAGGAGGTAGTGGAAAGTAACTAAGTGGATTTATGTACAATCTTGGGGTGTTTGTACTTTACTTGAATATTTACATTTTATGCTATTTTTACTACTTTATAATTCAGAAGAACCTTGTGTATTTTTGACAGCTGTAGTTATTACTTTTCAAATCAAAGTTTTATATAAAGAAATGCAATAAGCTTATAAGATTCAACACACTTTCAAATAAAAAGCGGTGGTTCCCAACCTGTTCAGCCTGTGACCTTGAGAGCTGCTATAATGTTTCTTATGGGAACAGCTAAAACAGGAACTGAGGACCTAGATCCAGGACACTGACAGTGCTGGCAGGAGAGGTATTAACACTTTATTAGACACAACTAGACTTGAGTAGCTTACTTGTGTTCAGGCTAAGAAATCAGGCAGGGAGAGGCAAAGACAAAAACCAGAGTCCAGACAGAGGTCAGAGGCCATTAATCAGTCCAGACCAAAGAGTGTGTTGGGGCTTTGTCACATTTCAGTTATTAGCAGTTCCACCAAACAGTGAGTTGCACTCACATTTTGTCCAAAGTCCACAAAAAAGTGTGTAGCAGATATGTTTTTCTTCCTTCCTCTCCCATTAATCATCTCTGGTCCCTTCAGATTTATCTTGTGACCCTTTGGGTGGGTCTGACCCTTAGGTCGGGAACCCCTGGACTAAAATAGATAATTGTAAAAGTATAAAGCTTCAAGCACTTCAAGCAGCTGCAACAGTAAAATGCTGGTTACACACTGATGTACCCATATTGAGCTTTACTGGGATAATTTGTGCATACAGTATTTTCCTGCTAACACATGCACTTTTGTTTAAATAAGCTTTTACAAGTAGGACTTTTACTTACAGTATAATAACATATATTTACATTCCCCTGTTAGTACGTCACAAAATGAATCTGAATACTTCTTTAACTACTAGTACTGTTATGTCAGTTCTGCAAAGCAACACATAATGTTTCCAACCCTTAATACACACACCGTAGCTTAAACGTAGTAACTGTAGCTGTGTAGTAGTAATAGCAGTATGTGTCTGCTGTGTACTGCAGTTACGTGGTGCAGATCGGCAGCAGGGAAATGCAGCTGGATGGATGTCAGCACATTTGTGTGAAGAACGTCCTGGAGCCACAGTGCTGCCCGCAACACTGGGGACCGCTGTGTCTCGGTAAGACTAACGCACACACACACACATGCCCAGAGTCTGTCCACACTTGTTAACAGTTTTGTGTGTTGTAAAACAATAGTCAGGCGCTCATATGAGCATTGACACAAGTTTTGTTCGTTGCAATCATGAAAATATTTCAATTTAATAATTGATAGGGCTCGAACTCCACATGATCATTTTGTTCTGAACTTACTTTAAATGTTTTTTCTTAAAAGACACAAGGAAACTATCGCATGAAGGTGGCTGCAGCCCAACAAAGAAAGACTGCACTGCGATCGTCAACAAAATAAAAATTAACCTTTGACCCCAACAATGAGACATAGTTTGCAGTGACGTGCGGTGAGGTTGACAGCTGGTGAGGCACTGACTCCTTTACAGTCAGATTTACAAATACAAATTGTCTATTAACAGACAATGCAATATGTTTTATATCTCATATCAGCATTCTTCACACAAACGTGACCCATATTTAATTTGAGGTTAAAATTTATTTCAATTGAGCTCATTTCTAACTAGAAATAATAAAAGTTTATGGTCTTACCTTTACTTGTACACGAAATCCATTTCGTATGTATTACAAACCCTTTTGCCGTTCGAATCCAATATTAAAACAAATGTTCTCAATAAAGAAGATCCTTCTGGACAAAAATGTCCAGACTGTCAAAAATGTTTTGATTGAAAGTCCAGATTTGCGAATTTTCTCATCTTGGAAATGTAATCTTCCATTTTGATAAACGGATTGTAAAGGAAATATAAACAAGCACGAAGAAGATTGTAGGTAGCGCAAGAATCTGTGGGCTCACTAGCGCCCTCTGCCTTGAGGCAGGCGTACTGTTTGCCTCACCGAGTAACGTTTTTACTGGGTTTTATGGTTAATCTGGAGCCTAAACACGTTACAGAACTACATTTTATACATTATCCAGATTATGGCAAGGCAGAGCATATAATCAGAGTGTTTGAAAGCATTTTATTTGCGATATAGGGACAGCGACTCACTATTTGCATCGCATACAGTTTGTGAGGATCACATGATCCACCGAGAGGCACAGCAAAGTGCTGCCTCATCGCGCATCTCCTCCATGTATTTGAACAAGACATACGGAAATTCTGCTATTCTTGATTGAAAAAAAAAATCCTTCAACATCGGATTCGAACGGCAAAGGGGCCTACAACACACACCAGCCGATAAATATTAACATTTATTATATTTTATGGTTAACTTTTTTTTTCTTTTCAAGATTGACGGGAGGCTCTGCCTCACCTGCCTCCCCTGACCGCACGTCACTTATAGTTTGTAACATACAGAGGAAAAAGGGACTATAATGAATCATTAATTATAACCCAGTAATATGGGTTACATATGCTACGCGATAATTAAAAAAACACGGCCACTTAACAAGAAGGCGGGTCTGCTCTTTTGTCTGTCATTCTGATTGGCTGTTTTATTGACTGTCATTTCTTTACACCAATCATGTGCTGCTGCGGTCACGCCAGGACTAGGCCTGATTGTTTTTTATTCTGTGTCGTTGGTACAGTCTGAGAATTAGGTAAATACCTTCAGAAATTGAGTGAGTGTTATGATACCACGGTACGGGGTTCAAACCCTTGCAAGATTCAATTTAAAATGCTCACACAGAAGGTGATTTGCGTGACCCGAGTGTGTCCGATACACACAAGCTGGGGTAGGCCCACAGGTGAATCTATGAACAAGCGTCACTTGTCAGAGGTTAAGTATGGTACAGGTGTTACCAGTTAAAAAGCTAAGCTAAGTTAAATAGCTAACCTGTCCTCTTCCTTGTACTGTAGCGGTCTATTTGGATTACTTTTGGCTAATACGTTTGGTGATAATAACAATATTTTCCATACCATGTGTATGTTATATGTATATGTGCCATTTTTAAATTCATCTCAAAGAATGGTATGCCACTGTCTAAATGGCCAAATAATTTTTTTAATCAAAGCATGAGCAGTGCAGATACAGTAGAATCTAGATGACATTAGTTGATGACGTTTTCCTTTTTATTTTGAGTGCTACACTTCAGACATTCATGTCACAGTCTGACATGCTTCAAAGCTGGTTTCCTTCAGTTTGACGCACAACATTTCAGATAATCTCACTCAGTCTGACATGGCAGGAACCTGCAAGGGCACACAAAGCAACACAAGCCCTCTGGAAAAAAAAAAAAAAAAAACGAGTAATGGTTATTTATGCATCTATATTTTTTTGGCATTTAGACTTAACTCTGTAAAATCATTAAAAATCATGAACTAAGTGGGATCAGACACGTTGTGCACACACTGTAGCCATTGGGCTATATGGATGCTCCAGTAATGGTCATTTCTAATACCCTGTCTGTCCATATTTGTCTTCCTCTGTCGCTCTGCAGCCTGTCCCAGCTGGTCAGGGAAGACCTGTAGCTTCCATGGAGTCTGCCTGGATGGGGATCTTGGCAACGGGACCTGTGTGTGTGATGTCAGTGTCCTAACTGTCTGTCTGTTTGTCAGGCAGTTACAATATCTGTATTGCTCTTGTGTTTGTAGGGAACAGTGCCATTTACTAAATACTGAGAAATTTAGATCCCTATTTGAGAGACTTAAGCACTGCTCAAGTCTCTGTGTCAGTCTCTCACCAGAGTTTTGAATATTTCAGTTGACCTCTCTTGTTTCTCTTATTGTGTTTGGCTGGGGATGGCACACTGGCCAAGCTGTGAGTTTGTACATAAATGAGGTTGTGTATTTGTAAAAATTCATTTAGATGTTAATGTTTTGGAAATATCAAAAGTTTTAAAAAAATGTTTTCAGGACGGCTTCTCTGGCTTCGCCTGTCACAAGTGTAAGAATCAGAACGCTTTTGGAGAAAAGTGCGATAAAGGTAGGCTCTCACTTTCTGACCTCTCCGGTGAAAATATGATCGTGTATGAGTCTTAAGTCAAAGAGGAAAAACAAAACAGGAATTATATAAGCGCTTTCAAACTGGGGTGTTTGTGCATCTGTCTGGACAGAGTGTGAGTGCGTGCATGGAGTGTGTAACAACGGTCCAGAGGGCGATGGACAGTGTTTGTGTCAACCACCGTACATTGGGAAGCGCTGTGATCAAGGTAAGACCATGACATTTTCAGTTATGAATTACATTAATTTAATTGCATATTATTGAATTATACGGTTCCTCCCACAGTCCAAAGACACACAGCTTAGGTTGACTGGTGACTCTAAATTGCCCCCAGGAGTGAGTGTGAGTGGTTGTTTGTCTACATGTCAGCCCTGTGATAGACTGGTGACCTGTCCAGGGTGGACCCCGCCTCTTGGAGCCCCCCCTTCCATGACCCTTGTTAGGATAAGTGATATACTGTAGATAATGGATGGAAAAAAATCAATTATATGGTTCTCTCCCAAAAACCATGCAGAGGGGGTTTTCAGCCCTGAGAGATATCTGCAGGTCCTTTCAGGTCACAGGATGTGGTCCAAACCTCCAACGCACAAGTAGCCATACAAGAACCTGGCCTAAATAAAATGCACATTATTTAAATCAAGAACTATATGGTCAAATGATAAGTAGAACATGAGGTGATGCATTTATTGCTCCAGTAAATGTCTGTAGGATCTTAAACTGTGAGCTGCTGTTGTGTCTGTGCTATTGGCAGTTGGTACTAGATGCAGTAACTGCAGCCCCTACTCGTACTGTAAAGGAGAGGGAGACACCGCCGACTGTGAATGTTTGCCTGGATACATGAAGATGCCAAATGGCAGATGTGGAGGTAAGCACACAGCTCAGCAGTCTTTTCAGAGTTCTCAGTTTTAGGCTACGTTTACGTCGCAGATTAAGTCACGGATGTGTGAACAAACTAAATTGGATTTTTTTTCCAGTCAGATCTCGGCTACTTGCATATGTGTGCCAGATCTGATTCACATTTGTTGGACTTTTACAGTTTGTAGAAGCTTTTGATGAAGCCAAAACTGCACAATTCCTGTGCGACAAGGAAGCTGGATACATGTCACTTGAAAACATTTATGTGAACCATCAGCACAAAAAGACTGCACAAAAAAACATCAGAGTTTCCTTAAGGCCTGTGATATAAACATAGCCTTACTCGAGCTTTAGTGTTAGTCCAGTAAAACTCAGGGCCTACTGTGGACTAATGCCTGTTATTTAGTCTCTACTGCTGGTCCTGATTCTCTCCAGAGCTGCTCGCCCCCGGTATTAGGTGCCTTTGATCTGCTTATTTGTAAAATGTAACGTTCTGATGACGCTACTTTTATAATCCGTGTGCGTATCGGTTCTAATGCTTTGTTGCCTTTATGTAACTTTTTATTTTAAGACTAAGTGTTCTTTGTTACTACGTACTTACGTACGCATTTGGCGCGCGGAGTTGCAGAAGCGGTGTCCTCGTGTTCTTTTCCGTGTTTCAATGAAGTTCTGTTATGTGTCTGTTGTTATGGTGTTATGTTGGTTGTTCTCTATTGCTGCTGTAACACAGAAATTTCCCCACTGTGGGATCAATAAAGTACCTGCTCTACTCTACTCTACTCTACAATTTGTGTTAGCGTGCTAATGTTAGCATCCATAGCATTCACTATGATTCTTGCAGGCTAGCACTATACTAATAGCAAGACCAGTGCTAGAGCTATATATTGATTTTATTTCAATGAACTGTTTCCTGACTGTCTTTTTTAAATTAGTTGAATTAGTTTTGAGGATAAAAACCTTTGAGTCTCATCTGGACTCAGATCTTTGTTTTCCTGTTCAGCTTTTTGCTCGGGGAGAGACTGTGACATCAATGCCCAGTGCTCCTTACAGGGGTCAAAGGTCGTCTGTGCCTGTAAGCCTGACTACCAGGGCGATGGCAAGATCTGTGTACCCATAAATCCTTGCTCTGAGAACAATGGAGGGTGTCCCATCAACTCCACCATCTGTGTCTTCAAAGGGCCCAACAAGGTGCGGAGGCCTGAAACAAAATTTGTCTGGAACCAGGACTAAAATGACGACCAGAATTAGAAAGACAAGACAGAGTGTTGTCAGAAGAAAAATGTAGTGATATAGTTACTGTCCATATCTAATATGTTTAACCTGACTCTGTCTCCGTCTGTCTCTCAGTCCAGCTGCGAGTGCATGTTTGGCATGTCCCCTATAGGTGGCCGTCCTGAGTTTGGTTGTCAGCTGGTCTCTGCCTGCTCAGCGGACACATGTGACCCCACCGCTGTGTGCCAAACTGAACTGGATGGACAACCCAGGTCAGTCTTTAGTCCTGTTAGTTTTTGTGAATGTGTGTGTGTGTGTGTGTGTTTGTGTGTTGTATTGTTATTAGTTAGCTTCTCACCCCTTTCCCCACTTTCTCAGGTGTGTGTGTGAGGCAGGTCAGATCGGTGATGGTCGGCGTTGCTATGGTAACCTAATGGAGCGGCTTTTAGAGCTGGACAGGAGTGGAAGCCAGAGAGAAAACCTGACTGGAGCCGTCGCCCTGTTCGGTAAAAGAACCACACATTCGCTATTTAAAAAACAGAAATGCATGTTAATGTTACTCCACTGTATTATGCGAGTGAGATGTATAACTGATTTAACTGAAATTCAGTTTAGGCCAGTTATCATTTGTCTTTCTAAACTGGAAGCACAATTAGATGCAATACTGTATATTTGTTAATTAAACGGGCAGTAATGTTAATTATGATGAACAGTGTTAAGCAGGAGTCACTCACTCTACATATTGTATATGTAATACATTTTCTATTACAGTTGCCAGCCAAGGTGAGTTTACTCTAGACCCTACTTAACAGGCCTTTAGTGGATATTTAGCTTTTTTTCCTCCAAGTCTGTAAATATTACATCTTTTGTTTAAATAAAATTTCTTCCTTGTAGGCAGACATTGGTTTCAGTTCATTCATACTTGCCAGTTATCAGTTAATCTGTTTAGTTATTTATTTAGTTACATTACTATAAAGGCTACAGAAGTTGTAAACAAGTTTCAAAAGATTCTGCAAAACATACCTTCTATGTTTATTTTCAATTTAGAGGTAGTTGGAAAAAATGGTCCAGGGTTTCTCTGTCACAACTTGTTCACCACAGCTGTGGTGTTGTTAAACTATCTTTGCTGTAACCATTGACCTTGGAGTGTGTATGTGTGTTTCAGCGAGAGGCTGCTCATTGCTGCTGAGTCACAGTGGACCCTTCACAGCTTTTATCCCGCTGCTGAAAACACCTCTGACTGTAGGTCACCTGTCTGTCTGTTCCCTTTTTCTATTCATCATCTCCTCAGTGTTCCTCAGCACAGAAACATAGGAGTCTCCTGGATGTTGTAATTATGGGGTTATTTGAATTCGTACTTCAGTTTTATTTCTGATCTTTTTTTCACTGTTTGGTGAACGGTGCTCACGTGATATGTAAATTCAGAACAAAATCATAATGGTTAATAATCCCAAACTGCTCCAGAAGCTAACAGTGAATGGATTTAAACTGCTCAGAGTTTTATCAGGTTTTTACAAAGAGTAACTCTGCCCTCACTATGTGTATAAGTGCACTGCAATGCAACAAGCCAAACGCGTTTCAGAATCTTTGAGGTTAATAGTGGAAGCCAGTTATGAAACTGTGTGAACAGAACTGGACAAGAAATTCAGTAATAATGATTCCAAATCAGAAAATGAGATTCTACAGCCAAGATTGTGTAGAACTAACTACCTGACTAGCTATTTGGTAAACATCTGTAACAAACTGCACACCTCTCATTGCCTTCATTTCA